AATACCTTGAAAGATAAAATTATGAAATTTTTTAAGAAATATTTATAAATTACATCACAATAAGTGTATTCATATATTAAATATATCTAAAATTTCTATATATGTATCGGGTTGGTTTGGTTTCGGTTTGACTTTCTTTAGCCGAATTTTTTTTCTCGGTTTGATTCGGATTATCGGGTTGGTGCGGTTTATCGGTTTCCTTTGTACACCCCTGGAACCCACCATCATTGTTCCCATTTTGATTTTAGATTTAGTATTCATTTTTCTTTAATCACTGAACAACAAAACTGTTAAAAGATATAAAATCCTTATATTTGTGATTTTTTATGTGTCCTTGTTATGACTCTGTGATTTATATATATATACACACGTAGGAAGGGGCAGATCTACTGTTGAAGTAACGAGTCCCGCAGAACTCAATCGCTTCAGCCCGAACTTTGTATTTGTGCTAAGAATTCACTTAACATGTACATAATTAATCGATCAAGAACCCATTAGGTAAAAATAATTATAAGTCCAGAACTTATAAACGTAAAATTTTGAATCTGTCTCTACAGGTAGGGTCATAACATTATTAAGATAGTAAGCTAGTATTCGTTGCATTTACTTATTATGAAAAATTGCTGAAAGCAATGTCTATAAGTGAAGGTAGTTAGCACTTTCTTCCATTTCTTATTTCAAGCTGGCATGAAATTAACTGGTGGCGTTCTAAAATGTCTTATGTCTACGTTATTTTGCTTTGATTTTCGAACTAACATTACAAGATTTCTTTTTCAAACCACAATTTTGTATTATTTATTTCCTTTTCCTACATCATTATTGAATATGACAACTCTTTAGCAATATACGAAATTCATGACATTTATTGAAAATGGTCTCTATCCATTTCAAGTAAGCAAAAAATTTACGGGATTTTTTTCTTAATTCCCACTTTGGACCCTACAGTTTGGACTAAACAAGAACTTCATTGCTTGTAATACTTGTATGTAAAAAAACAAAACTAATATAGCAACGTAAAAAACAATTATTTTTTTTGTATGTATTGGTAGTCCTTTGTTTTCTTTTTGGTACTGGTACTTTAGGACATAATAACAATAAATTGCTTGGGAACTTAGTTTCATTTAATAAGTTTCCTAATGATGTGCAAAGTAGTTTTAATTTTTGAGTTTCTAGAAACCTGGTGATCAGCATCTATATTTAGTAGCTAATCAGGAGATTTTCAACAAGATTTGAATAAGCTGGTGACCTAACACAACCATTCAAGGACTATTTCACTAGCTTTTGTAGCAATTTTATGTGATCTTTGGTGTAAATAGGGTTTCTTTTTCAGATAACTCTCTAATTTGCCTTCTCTCCATTTGAAATGTTCATCGTTTCATTATAACTATCATTTATTGAACTTAATGATTTTTTCTAAATTTTATGTAAATGTATATTCATCTTACACAAGTCTTTTGTAGAGTCAAATATACTCTTATTTTAACTATACGTACACAATCAGATTACTTAAAAATCAAATATATCTAAATGTTTATAAGTAGTAATAATTACTAAATATGAGTTAGTTCCTATTGCAGAAAGCTTTCGTGCGAAACAAAAGAAATATAGATTTCTTATTTGATCCAACTAATTCAGGTCGTACAAAAAGCCAAAACACATACTCACGTAATTAAATTTCCTTTCTATCTTTGCTCATTATCTCCAGCAATTGTCCACTCTCAAAGAAGTGTAAAGCAAAATGAATACTCTCAAAAAAGTGGATCACGCAATTGTTCTGTCTTTCTTTTTTTGCTGTGTAAGTGGGAACAAAACGAAATTAAGAAAAAGACATAATTGGACCGTTTCAAAGCCGCAAAAAATCACGCAGTTTCTAGGATGTACACCCTTTAACCGCGTTTGAAATTCTTATTATTTCCATTTTCCATTTTCCATTTTCCATTTAAAGACTTCCTTCATAAGAAAAATCCCCACACGCTATTTTAAGATTATTTTATATTTCCACAAAATACACATTTTCCCCAACATTTACTTTAAAATGCATAGTATCTTCCACACATTCTATAACTTTCATACTTCGTCATCATCAAAAGGTGCAAATGAGCCTAGGCTCGTTTGTTCCTATCTTTTAGTCTCTCTCAACAACCATTAAAGAAAGCCAAATTCTGGTGTTCAAATTTGGAAGAGTTTCTCTTTCTTTTACTTACTACTCACTTATTGAGAGACTGAGAGAGGTGAAAAGGAAGTAGTTATGGGAAAAAAACTTGATGCCTTACTAGGAAGAAACTTCAAGACTGCTAGATTTAAAGCCACTGCCAATCTTGCCATTTCTAGGCTTGCTGTACTCAAGAACCAGCGTCAGGCACGGTGCTCGATCGCGCGGTCCGATGTGGTTCAGCTCTTAAACCTTGGACACCATGAAAGAGCTCTTCTAAGGGTATCCTTCTTACTATGATTTTGATCATTTTGTTAGACTCGTCATCTTGTTCGACTGGATATGTTACTTTCCTTTTGTTAGTTTTGTTGGTATTGATTGTTTTCTATTCATCCTCTCGAGCTAAGTTTCTTCGGAAATAGCCTCTCTATCCAGGGGAGAGTTACCGTCTGCGTACACTACCCTCACTAGACCCCGCTTGTGAGATCCACTGGGTTTTGTTGTTGTCTTTTGTTAGTTTCTTTATTGGGTTTTGTTTTATAATATTCGTGTGTTTGTAGGTTGAGCAAGTGATCAAGGAACAGAACATGTTGGATGTGTTTGTCATGGTAGAAGGCTATTGTCTTCTGTTAGTAGAAAGGATCAACCTTCTGGAACATGAAAAGTACTATGCCTTTTTAATCTGCTTCTCGCTCAACATTGATCTATTGTTAGTACTTCAGTTACTGAGATTTTCATGTTTTTTTCTGTAGAGTTTGTCCTGAGGAATTGAAGGAGGCGATATCGAGCTTGATTTATGCAGCTTCAAGGTGTGGCGAATTCCCAGAACTTCAAGAGCTTCGTGTTATTTTCACGTCAAGGTTTGGGAAAGAATTCACAGCTCGTGCTGTTGAATTAAGAAACAATTGTGGAGTAAATCCTAAGGTAATATTATTAGAACACCTGGTTTGGTACTATCTGAATCTACTATAATAAATAGCATGTTAATGTCTTGACATTTCATGCAATGTAGATGATTCAAAAGCTGTCAACGAGGATGCCTAGCTTAGAACATAGAACCAAAGTACTGATGGAAATTGCTTCAGAGAATAACATTGTTTTGCAAATTGAGGAAGCAGTTTTGGAAACTACAGAGGTATGTTCTCCGTCCACGAAATTCTAGCTCGTGTGACCATCCCATAAAAGTTTAAGCGGTTAGAGAGGGCATAATGTCTTTGACAATTCTCAAACTCAAGAATTAATACACAGAAGTTGATCATTTTTCTTACTGTTGATAATAGGAGAAGAAGGATACTGTGAAAAGGCAGGACCAGCATGAGGGAGATCTATCAAGTAAGTCAGGAGAATATAGATATGAAGGTCGCATACCAGTTTTACCTCAAGATGTAGACCATGAAGTTGGGAGAAAATATAAAGATGTAGCAGATGCAGCTCAAGCAGCTTTTGAATCTGCTGCTTATGCAGCAGCAGCTGCAAGAGCAGCCGTTGAACTCTCTCGGTCTGAATCGCGTGATCCGGATGACCCGAATAGTCCAACTCAGAAGCCAAGGAATGTATCAAACTATCGTGAGGATTTAAAATCCGAGTTTCGTGCAGGAGAGGAGAAGAACAATAAGGAGATGAATGTTGGGGATGTAGTTGAGAAAATCCAGCCTACTCAGAACTATGGTTTTCATTCTGAAGCCAACAAACTCCCTGATGGAGATGAGGAGGAAGAACTCAAAGAGAGGACGTTTAAAGAGCAGTTCAAAAGATCAGTCTCTGCTTCAAGTTCTGATTCAGCAGATGACATTCTTGATGATAAGGTTATACGTCCAGGGCATGGTGTAATCTACGATGAAATCGATGATGTTGGAAAGAAAAGCAGTAATACGTTGTTGAAAAGTCCTAAGAATGAAGTCTTTGGTTCTGAGAAATCAAACAGCAAGGATGTTTCCATCGAAGGGGCCGGCAGAAACTCTTGGTACTTCACTGATAATGAAATTTCTCCAGGGTACCAAGCAGGAAATGAAAAGGAAGTTGAAGGATTCACAAAGCAAGGTGCAGAAAACCTAGATATAAATAAGACGCCAATATCAGTGAGAACTAGAAGGAACTATCACTGGTGACCAAGGGCAGATAGAACTTTGCAGAGATTTTGCGAGTTGGAGTATATATTGTGTGCTTTGCATATTATAGCTTCATATTTTCTTTATTTTTGATGAGATTTTGTAAGTTTGAGCATATATTTTGCTTTTGACTATATATTGTAGCTTCGTTTCTTGTTTATTTAGTTATGAGCTCTGGACAAATTATATGATATATTATCAAAACTACAGGAGGCATTAAAATTTTGTTGATTCTTGAGGGTTGAAATTTTGATGCTATGAGCTGCTACTGCTATGAAAGAAGGTAGAACTTGTAATAATTCAGTTCTTCGCACCGTCTAGCTTTCAGCAAAAGATATGAGCTGGTACATCAGAAAGCTCATAGAAAAATTGAAGACCACGAAAAGCACATAGGGAATATATTTCAATTGCCACTTTAACGAATAGATGAACTGTAATAACAACACACAGTAAAATATGAACAAATAAAAAAATGAGAACACAAACAAATCTGAGTTTCTTTTGTTCAAGGCTAAACGGATATAGTTATACCCCAGCAATGTGGCAGCTCAATGGCAATCTTGAAGATGTAAAGTCCCCGAGAATTGCTGTATATGTTAAGTACTTTTTAATAGCTTATTCAGTCTACTGTCAAACTTCCTATCCCATTTCAGTTGTGTTTTGAACCTAAGATCACTTGCAGTTCAAGTCATATAATGTATGATGGAAGGCAGTGAACGACAGTAAAGCAGACAGAAATCTCAGAAAGGAAGATCAACAACTTCAAAAATACCAAGATTACACAATTTCAAAGTCTACAAATATATACTCATAGAACACTTGATCAAGCATATTCCTATTGTAAAGTATAAGTAAATAGTCACTAGCCTCTAGCATGCTTCTTGCCATTTTGCATCAGGTCAGCAAAAGACTGAAAATCCACACCAACATCCTCATCATTCTCAATTCCAAGCTCCTCCTGAATACACGTGGAAATTAGGAGTGTACTTTACAAAAAACAAGTGCCGATATAAAGACAAATTAATTAATACCTTAAACTCTTTAGGATTTTTGGGAGAGTTCTCAGTAATGGCATCCCATACGTCTCTGAACATCCTTTTTCGCTTTCTCCACTGATTTAAGGCTTCAGAATACAGCCCCTCGATGGCTTTTCTTTCTTCTGGACTTACCAGGGTTACACCTCCCCGCAATTTAATTAGTTTCTTTTCCATCTCATCAACCTTGAAACAACAAAGAAGTTAGGCTACTTTTCAAGTTATGCTGAAGACCAAAATTGATATATGCTATAGGTTCCACAGATTCTTCATATCCTACCTCTTTTCTCAGTTTGGCTTCTTTAGCATGTATCTCTTCCAGAGTCAAATTTGATTGCAGAGACTTAATTTCTACAATGCACCATTATAGTTTACAAGTGAAGTCACTCAATCATCAAAGTTGAAGAATATCAAATTCAATAACTTCATACAAATTCGCAATAATAACTCATAGACAACAACAAAAGAGTATCAATTAAGAATACCTGCTTCAACCTCACTGGTGGTTTTCTTCTGTTCATCCAACTTTTCTTGTAGATTGGCATTTTCTTCCTTCATTTTGTTAAGCTCTTCACTGTCTGGGATGTCAAATTGATCTTGCCGAGCTAGATAGATTTTCTGCTTGCCATATTCTTTAAATGATATCTTACCGCTGTCACAGAGATTATCCAGGGCTTTTTGTATTGGAGCCTTTTTAAGGTTAAACTTTTGCAGTGAATCTGCCACATTTTGGACATTCAATGGTCTATTTTGCTACATTAAACACCATGAAGGAAAAAAGGAAAATCAGAGACTGTATAACTCAAAAAAATAAAATGCAGAGATGTTTCTATGCAATAACAAGATTTAGGAATGATAGCAAAATGACAATCTCTTAAGTAAAAAAGGGAAATAAATTGTGCACACACCCATAGCAACAACAATTTAAGCTCCAAGTGAAGCTGTAATTCATCTATATCTTCCAGTTGCATTCTCTAAAGTTTTGAAAGAATTTTTTACAGAGAATCCAAATATACTACTCCCTTTGTTCCACTTTATGTTGCAGACTTTCCTTTTTAGTCTATCCCATAAAGAATGACACATTTCTATATTTAAAACTAATTTAACTTTAAATTTTTCATTTTATTTTAGTAAGATGATTTATAGTGACAAAATGTCTACATCTTTTTTTATACCACAAGTTTAATAAGTATTCAGTCAAACATGGCCGCATAAAATGGGAAAGAAAAGCTAATTAGTTCGACTAACAACAGCTCTATCACTCCTTTATCCAAACATTAACAGTATTTGATACTTTGCCTGACAATTTTTACTACATAACTCTGCTAATTTTAAGCGCAAAAATCCAATTCACGTTTCCAATTGAATACCTATACCGCTGAAGCACACTAAGATTAGTTAATTTCAGTAAATTATCCATTTCTCCTAAAACAATAACACTATTAAAACAAAATTTTGATATCTCTAAACGACATATAATCTAAATCTTAGGCATTTTTCTATTAAATAATTTTTATTTATACATTGCAGGTGAAGAGCCGCATATAAAAAAATATTTAAAAAGGACAAATGGAAGCAAAACGAAATAGTGTGTGTTACCTCGTTTACGAAATTGAGCACAATTCCTGTAAATTTTCAAACACGAAAAATCGATAAATTTAGGATCTGTAAATAGAGATTTCTCAATTACGAATATATTCAATTCGATTTCAGCTAAAAATTCAACAGCGATAAAAGCTAATAGTGAAGAAGAACTTAAAGGAGAGGAAAATGTATAGGATTTTTACCTTCGGTGTTATCTGCTTTAGGAGCCATAGTTGATTAGGGAAATTCTCAGAGCTCCTTAGCGCGGGAAAAAGCTTCTAGCATAATTTTCTCTATTTCGAACTCGGGTAAAATCATAGAGCCATAAAAAGGGATACAAAGAGTGTGGGAATTACCCTTAGCATGACCATTAATTACGAAAAGAGGATTCTTGCCTCGCAAGCCAGAGTTACCAGGCTTGGAAAAGAATGGGAAATGAATAGCCCATGTACCTTGCAGTTGTGGACTGGCACAACCTCTAAACTAGTAAGCGTATGGGCTTTTAGTTCAGGATTAGTCCAAATGTAACTACTTGGCCACTATTTAAAATTTGAACCCGTTTAAGAAATTTGTGCAAATATAACCTCGGCGCTATACATCCTGAAGAATGAAAAATTAGTAAAAATTGCACGGGGATTGGTCGCCCCCATTTAACCTATATTCATTTTTTTTAAAGTTTTAACTTGCTTATTTTTTAAACAACTTCAGCCCCCTTTCTCCTCCTCCTTCTCCTCCTTCGTTTTACTATTTTTGTTTTTGGTTTGTACAATATTCGTCGTTAGTCAACCCGATTTAATATATCGTAATCTTTGCAGTGTCACCAAAAATAAAGATATAGAGGAAAGTAGCATTAGTTTCATCTTGTGGACCAAAAGGAGAACTGATTTCTTTTTCTTAATTTACTTTTCCATAATTGGAAAGTAAGTGTATACCTATTTGTCAACATGAACGCAGCTATACTGCTATTAATTTGTAATTTCGTTAGCTGCCCCATGGTTTGAATGTGAGTTAAGATGTTTCTACATTTTAATTTTCATCAGTCATGCATGCTTGTGGAAAAGATCAATTACTGTGGTAACTTGTTATGACTGGTCCACTTGTTAAAAGTCTCATAGTTTGGCAAAAAACCTTCAGCTTATATAGTGCTGAAGTTTTTACAAATGAACTAAATAACTTCAGCATCTTTTGCTGAAGTTTTTGAAAAAGCTTATCCATGAAAAAAAAACTTCAGCTTATATAGTGCTGAAGCTTTTACAAATGAACTAAATAACTTCAGCATCTTCTGCTGAAGTATTTGAAAAAGAAAGAATTACAAGAAAAGACGCATAACTTCACACAATAACAAAAAATGGCCCATGTTTTTAAATTTTACCTAACCTAGCCCATATTGTACATATTTTGAAAGCACTAGCAAATTCAAAACTTGTGTTCTTACAACTATTGCTTCTAAAAGCTATGGAGTTAAATATGTGTCCTCACAACCATTGATTTCACTCTCTTCTTCTCACATCTTCTACATATGCTTCAAAGGATTGTCCGCCATTGCTGCTTCTTACCCTGTGTCACCTGGTTGCAAAATTGAAGAGTAGAAGTCCACCATTGAAGGCCATCCAAAGCTTTATTTTCGAAAATAGAAATTTTTGAGTTTGTTAGTTGTTTGGATTGGGTGTTGTTCCAATTGATTGAAAATATCAAAAGGAGTTCAAAATTTAAATTTGAAGTGATTTGGAGTAGATTTGAGCAAGATTTGAGTTAAATTTTAGAAAGGACGCAAGGAAGAAGACGAAGTCAGTTTTTTGTATAATTATGTATAATCTTGTATAATAGTGTATACGAGTGTATAAACACATCTTATACACTTTTATACACCTTTACAAGCGTTTGTAGACGAACTTCTTCCACGACTTTCAGTTGCAATTTTTGTTCAAAATCAGTCCAAATCTCCATTAAATGACTTCAAATTTTATATACAACCTCCTTATACTATTTCTAACAAGTCTAAATAACACTCACTCCAAATTTTTTCCAAAATCAAATTCGAAATTTAAACCCACATGTTTAAGCTTGTTAAAATTTAATTTTCACCATACAAATGGATTTGGTTTGTTGAACTAATATTTTTGAGTCACAGTTACTGATTCGAAAATTAACTTAAAAGCTTGAGCAATCTTTTGGATGTTGAATCTTAGTCTATTGTGTTTGGGCTAATTGGTTGTAAATTGAAATATGGGCTATAAAATTAAAAAACAGGGAGCTCAATTGTTCTTATGTGAAATTTTCACTTTGAAAAAGCTTTATGACAAAACTAATGAATCCAGGACAAAAAAACTTCAGCTTATTTAGTGCTGAAGTTTTTACGAATGAACTAAATAACTTCAGCATCTTCTGCTGAAGTTTTTGAAAAAACTTATCCATGACAAAAAAACTTCAGCACTAAGGGTGTGATTGGTATGAAGGAAAACATTATGTTTTCAAATTTTTCCATGTTTGGTTGGCTTAAATGTTTTGGAAAATATTTTTCTTATCAATTCATTTCCTCCAATTGGAGGCAAATATTTTCCTTATCAAAAGAAGGGAAAATATTTTCCCAAAGCTCCTTCTCAACCTTCCTCACCTTCACCAACCCACCCCACCCCCTCTCCAAAAGAAAGTTTTTTTTTTTTTTTTGAAATTTCAGTTTTTCCGTTACCACCCACCCTACTACCCCTCCATCCCCCTTCCTCCCTACCCTAACCCTCCCCCCCCCCCCCCCCTAAAAAAAAAAACTTTTTTTTTTACCTTTAACAATTTTTTTTTTACGTCAATTTTTCCAAATTTTTAACGTTTTTTTTTACTTTTATTTTTCCTCGCCACCACCCACCACCCCACTCCCCTACCCCCCAATTTACCCCCCCCCCCCCCCTTACTTTTTTTTTTCGTAATTTTAAATTTTCCTACTTTTTTTTTTCCGATTTACCTGCCCCCCTCCCCCACCCCCAGCCCCGCCCCCAGCCCCTGCCCCCATCCCCTTCCCACCAAACCCCCTCCCCCCCGGAAAAAAAAAGTTTAAATATATTTTTCAATTTTAATTTTATTATTTATCGGTTTAAAGGCTCAAAATTTTACAAGTTCCAAAATTATGAGTTCGGAGGTTTATGTGTTTGGAAGTTTACGGGTTTAGAAATTATAAAGTTTACGGGTTCGAAATTCCACGGTTTTGAAAGTTTAGCGGTTCGAAAGTTTATGAAATTTGTGGGTCCGGAAGGTTGTTGGTTTGAGAGTTTATGGCTTCATGTTTATAATATCTAAATTATTTATGAATTCTCTTGAGAAGTCATTTTCCTTAATTTGTGTACCAAACACCGGAAAATGAATAAGATTACTACTTGTTTTCCAAGAAAACATTTTCTTGGAAAATATTTTCCACGGAAAACATTTTTCGTTATACCAAACACACCCTAAATGCTTAAGTTCAGCAAATAGAGAACAAAACTTCAGCACTAGAATGCTTAAGCTTAGCAAATAGAGAACAAAACTTCAGCACTAGAATGCTTAAGTTTAGCAATTACAAACAAAAACAAGTTAATCAAATAGAGAACAAAACTTCAGCACTAGAATGCTTAAGTTCAACAAATAGAGAACAAAACTTCAGCACTAGAATGTTTAAGTTCAACAATTACAAACAAAAACTTCAGCACACTTGGTCTACTTTAGGCCCGACTACTAGAATGCTGAAGTTTTGCGTGATTGCCTTTGCTATTTCAGCCCCGTATGCTGAAGTACCCGGAAAAAGTGGGTACGCTTGTAATTTTTTTTGCAAAGCGGGCACAAGTTAAAACGTGACCCAAAAAGCAGGTATAGATGCAAATGCCCCAAAAAATTATGCCTTCGTAAATTTTGTCATCCTGGTATAATTTTGGTACAATTTTTATTTTATCTATAATTTTAAATTATTCACAAGTTTTGTCGGATTGACAAATCTTACCTTGTTCGCGAGTTATGTAGGAGGCACAGTGGCTGATTTAAGATTTTAAAGTCATGAATGCTCGCTCGAAAGAGTTTCGGAAAAGGACAGTAAAAGAATTAAGCTATGAGTGCCCATTCATTACTTATCCAATTTTTTTTGTAAATTGCCAGATAAAGACAATGGGTACTTAAGCACCCATAACTCCATGTGTAGATCCTCCATTGAGGAGGCATAACTTTGGTACAATCTTCGTTCTATTTATCATGTTAAATTGTTTACAAATCTTATCAGATTGGAAAATCTTGCCTTGTTCACAAGTTATGCCAGCAAGGTATAACTTTGGCACGATATTCATTATATCTATCTTCTTATTTAGCCAGATTGGCAAATCTTGCCTTTGTTGTTCAAGTCATACACCCTACCCACTAACCCACTAATGGACTAAGGGGGGAGGCAAAGCGAACGGAAACGGACCGAAAACCCTCTCTTTACTCAATGGATAGCATTGTATAAAATTCTTTATTAGCAGTGCAATTTAACTTGTTATATCATAACTTATCATTTAGTTGAGGTTACTAATCAACATTTGTTATGTTGAGTTACGTATAATTACTTTTTCAATGATATGATTATGCAGATATTTCTTACACAGTTAGCAAACCTTTTCTCAATTGAAAAAAGAAATCTTGAAATAAAAATGACAATTCTTTTTTTCCAATTTTTCTCCTTCACTATAGTACACTTAAAAAAAGAGGACTTATCCCCAAACAAAACTGAACAGAAGTTGAAATCTTAGGCTACAAAAATCAAAACAATTAGGACAAATTGCCACCACTCTGCTGCCACAAATTGATGATATCAGTTGCTTGATTAAGCAAAATAATCATTTGTTTCTGTGATATCCATGGCTTGCTCTCTAGTGTTGTTTTAAGCTCTTCCCATGCATCCTTCCTTGGCCAAAAGAAATATGGACTCAAAGGTACAGAACCATGTCCTGGTAACACTTGATCAAGACCAAGTCCTATATTCTTTTCCATCCATATGAACTTTAATACCAACCTTGGCTTCTCAATTACCTTTTTCTTCGAATCTGTCTTCTGCAAAAATCAAGAATTCACCAAAATTCAACCAAGATATTCTCTCTTTTAGGCTAATTTTAACGGGCAGATTTAGGACGGGTGATGTGAGTTCAACTGAATTCATTGTTTTTGCTCGAACTCTATATGCATAGATGGAAAGGGAGCCTTGGAGCGCAACGGTAATGTTGTCTCCGTATGACCTATAGGTCAAGGGTTCGAGCCATGGAATCAACCACTGATGCTTGCATCAGGGTAGGCTGCCTACGCTACACCCCTTGGGATGCGGCCCTCCTCGGACCCTACGGGAACACGGGTGACTTCTTGCACCCGGCTAGCCTTTTTATATATATTATATATGCATAGATGCAGATGTACTATGTATTTGATGGGTTTAACTTAACCATAAATTTCGATACGGAGTAAACATATTCATGTGATAAATTACTAAAATATTAGTAATAAATAGCTATGTCGAGCCAATGCCCATAATTTAAAAATGCAATAGGTTTTGTAACGAGACATTAAAGGTTGAACTTATGAAGTTTAAATCCTGAATCCTCCTTTTGTATACATGCACAAAACACATTTGAAATGTTACGCATAATGTTAGATCACATTCAGTTTAAACCTATTGCTTTTGGCTCCAACTATACATACATATCCAAGAACAATTAAAATGGAGTCAGATATAGTATTCTATAGTTCTTAGATCATCAAAATTAAAGGGTTGAGTTTACCTCTATTTCTTGAACCGTAGAGCCTGAAGTCTCAGCTGTAACTGGTTCTGTTTCAGTGGCAGCTGAAGCAAAAAGCTTATGGATATTTCTTGTTGGTTTGGTTTTGTAACTACGAATGGAAGATGAAACTGTGTTGTTTACAGAGAAGGAAGAACATCTGAAGGATTTGACAGAGGGATTGTGGGAAGGTAAAGGGATAGTAACACTGGTTTTCAAGCTAGACTGAACTGACATTGATAACATGGTTTCTGTGAGAGAGAAATGGGAAGTGGGGAAATGGTGGCCTTAGAAGAGTGTAGAGACTTGATATGATAACAGAATGGATAAGGTAGTAGAAGAACTGAAAGAAGGAATAAAGGAAGAAGTTCAAAATGGGCTAGAGGCTCAAAAGGAACCGGTTTGGGCTGTGAAATTTATGGGATTTCGGCCCAAATGAAGTAATGTCACTATTGTGGAATAGTTACCTCTTATAGCAAAGGTTGATATCTTATTTATTTTATATAAATACCTTTTTAAAAAATTATATCCCATAGCTACATTTTGATTTTTTATAGCCGAATATTTATTTATGGTTACCTCCTACCCTTAAGTCATAAAATAAGCTTTATTATTTTCTCTCTCCACTCAAATTTCTCATATCCCTAACCAAAAGCTTCAGCCAAGGACCCCTAAAAAAGCTACCCACCCGTAATCTCTCACCCACCAGCAGCCCCATCTCGTTCTCATTCTCTTCAATGGAGAATAGATCTCCTCCTTCTTGAGAGAGCAGCAGTCATCCTTTCCATTCCCCTTCTCCATGAACGCCCAGCACTCCACCCCTCACAAACCTGATCATCCGCCCACCTTCCTAAGAGAGGATCATCATCCTTGAATTCCAAAAAGAAAGCTGATAGCAGCCCACTCCATTAACAACCTCCAGTCGCCACCCCAAGAAAAGGGAACGAACATCAACTGGCAAAAAAGAGGAACGAAGACAACAGAGTTTTGGGAATGAGCAACTTGAATTTTCTATTAATATATTTCAATGTATCTCGCTGTATTTTTCAGCTATTTCATTGTAGTCATTGTCTTTTTTTTTCTATTGTATTTCAATGTATCTCGATGTATTCCATGTATTTCATTGTATTCACTGCTTCATTGTATTCTATGAATGTATTCATATATATTTTTTTTTAATTAATATAGTTTATGTATTCAGATGTATTATATAATTTCTCTGAAGATTGCTATGTTTTTTGTGTGTATTCGGTTGAGAATCTTTTTTATAACTGAAAATACAAAAATTTTGTGTTATAATTGAGTTTGTTGAGTTATATTAGGAGTCTATTATGTTAATTGATTCACTTTCCGTTTAAAAATAGTGTAATCCCATGTTTCTCACCGTGAATACGGTCGAATACAGTCGAATACAATAATTTATCCAGTTGTAATCCCATGTTTCACGCCATGAGTACAATCGAATACAAAAATCTGTCTAGCTGTAATCCCTTGTTTCACGCCTAGAGGTGCTACTGTATTCATGAATACAGTAGCTTAAATACATCGAATACCTCTAAAATTTTTGAAAACATAGCTATATATAGGAAGTAATATAGTAAAGGGTAGCTACAACTAGCTAATAACCACTAAAACATAGTGATTTTTGAAAGTTTCTCTACTATTTTCCATACCTTTAGGGGTTGTTTTGGTTACAGGGATTAGGGGTTACCCCATTATACAATTTAGGTTTTTTTTTTAAGAAATGACGTCAGATAGCCACTCTAAAGGGCTGCTATTAAATAGAAATTAGCCAGTGTATTCTGAATTTTAGTTTTGCAGTTTAATTTTTTAGGACAAAAAATGTCTTGAATTGTCCTGAAGTTAAAATTTTTTAGTTTAAAATTTCAGGACAATAAATACTGGCTAATATCTAAATAAAATCCATGAGAATGACTATCTGTACAATTGCCCCTAATTTTTTTAGTACTATTGATAGAGAGTATCAGCTAAAGCCAGTATACGATTTATACAAAATTATGGGTTATCTATGGCCTTGTTACTATCATGGATCGGATTATAATCCTAGGACTATAATTTTGGGATAACCTTGCTTTGAACCAAACGACCCCTTGATACTTGCCATATTTAGCAACATTAACTTTTTTTTTTTTTTTTACCTATGACAGTGGTGTCTAGGTCAGTTCCTGTGCGCATCGACTATTTTATTGGATACTTGCTACCTTCCATCAACATAGGTATCAAGTTACGCTGCCACTATTCTTAGGTTCTTCGATGGGAAGAAATTACCTAACATTTTATGTCAATACTGGAATTTAGTAACGTTAAGTTGACTGATCAAATTATCAAATTGATCAATATTTGATTACAAAAGATGTCGTGTGATTTTGATGTAATAAAATGAACGTTGAGTGGCTATCATAAAATTAATTCCTAATTTTAACAAAATAATAGCAAAGAATATCCAAGAGGTGCCTTCTTTCTTATTGATGTTTGTAATAACAATTGAAAAAAGTAGCAAAGAGGCATGAATTTATAAATAAAAACCTGAAAATGAAGTTCATAATAAAGACTTTTCTTCTAATGTCATTTTCTTCATTAGTAAGAGACGACTTCTAATATATGTCCATGCGCACAACTCATTCCAATTCTTGAAGAACCATTAATTGAGTTTCTCACGATTTTGACAAAATCACATAATAATAAATAATATTAGTAAGATTATCAAAGAGAAAATGAGTGCAAATATGGAGACAACCAATTCAATCCACCTCAATCCATACTCATTGCCCTTTGCTTACACAAAAGTACGTATTTTATCAGGTGACGCTTGGTTTTCCCAAGATTAAGAGCTATTTAGGTATTGTCAAATGAATTGTTGTGCTATAGGTTTATTTTCTCAACCATTTTATGTTATACTACTATTTTTTAAGCATACGCTTTATTTATTTTTTGTAAGGAGAACCGTGGCAAACGCTTTCCTTTAGGAAATCGATTAGTAGTATATAAAATTAAAGCAACACATATATGTAATGGTACATGATGTGGAAAAATGTATGCGGACAATGTCTTAATTTGTTGAAACTGATTGATAATAATGTTTAACTGTTAATTGGGATAACGGAAATTCAATAAGAATTTCGATATTTCTAAAGGAGAGTAACTTTCACGACCAATAAGTGTTAGAAATCATTTTCTCCATTTTGATAAAAACACTTCTCTCGATTTCGATTGCTATAGTTGAACTATTTCGAAAATCAGATGGCGAAAAGTTTTAAATCTGCAAAATCTCTATCTCCTCATGATCCCCATTCCCCTTCAAATCATTTCTAACACAAACAAGAAAAAGAGAGACAATGAAATTATTGAGATCATTAGGATACAGACATTGTATTATATTATTTATATTTGTTTCAGGTAGTTGTACTTATACAATTACGAGTAGTACCAAGCAGTTAGGTAGTCCGTTGAGTTAGTTAGACTTCCTAAAGTTAGTTAGTCAGTTAGTTGGGGTTTGGGCTCCATTAGTTTTTCTTCGTATTCTCCTCTGCTTTTGCATTGTATATATACACTTTAGTTGAGCTAACGTAATTGAGGCTTTCATTTCCAAAGTCACTTTTCTTTCCTCTTACAAATGCTCTTGTTTTTCAATCTTCTCCTCCAAGTCTCCACTCACGCCATTGGAGCTCTTCTCAAGCTCAATTGTACATTTGCTTTGCTGATTTGATATGGTATCATAGCACAGTTGATTCTACGCGCATAAGATTGGTGTAGATCATCGTTAGCTCGATCTGCACATCTCAATTGCAGGTAATTTTCGTCTTTGCGAAAAGTTAGGGTTCTCAGATCTCTGTTTCTCTTTTCCTCTTCGCATCTCAAATATTGTTGATTGAGTAGTCCTCATGGCTAATGATGAAGAAATCAAACACATCGATGTGGACTCAAGCAAGGAGTCCACTATTGACTCAAGTAGTCCATTATACATGCATCCATCGGATAATCCTAGTGCAATGTTGGTACCAGTCCTCTTTAATGGGATTGGATATAGATCTTGGAGACGGAGTGTGCTTTGAGCACTGTCAGTTAAAAATAAACTAGGTTTCATTAATGGTGATTGTAAGAAACCAGATCTAGAATCTCCAAAGTATAGACTATGGGAGAGATGTGATGATATGGTCACCTTATGAATTTTGAATTCCTTGGGGAAGGAAATTGCTGATAGTGTGGAATACGTTAATGATTCTGTCGAGTTGTGGAAAGAGTTGGAGGATCGTTATGATCAAACGAATGGTGCAAAGCTATACCAAATTCAGAAAGAGATAAATAATCTGTCGCACTGAACACTAGATATCACTGGGTACTATACAAGGATGAAGAAGTTGTAGGAAGAATATAGCACTTTAAGTGCAAAAACACAATGCACTTGTAATTGTACTTGTGGAGCCAAGTAGACATGCACAAAGTTGAAAAAGATAGACGATTGATCTAGTTCCTTATGGGACTTAATGAAGTGTACACTGTGGTAAGGGGAAGCATTCTCATGATGAATCCCCTGCCATCTTTGGCCCAAGACTTCTTTTTGCTGATTCAAGAGGAGAAACAAAGAGATATCAAACCTGTCATGACACCAATTCTCCCTTCGTGAACTGTCGTGACGGCACCTAGTCTCTACGACTAGGTAAGCCTAACAAGTGCGGAAAATAAATCGAAACTTGCGGAAATATAAATCTAAAAACAAGAATAACTGAAAAGGAACGGTATATAGAATGCCGCTCGACATATACAGCACAATATCTCAAAAACTTCTACATCACTATCCCAAAACCCGAAATCTCACGGGAACACAAGCTGAAAGGAACGTAGTAAAAAAAAATGCTCTAACTCCAGAATGTCTACAGCAACAGAAAGAAGAAGGCTAAATGCTAAAAGATAGAATAAGATAGAGACTCCACGGTCTGCGGGCACGGCAGATGTACCTCGAAGTCTCTGATAAACCTCTCCGCCTCAAGGGTGATACGCCTGGATAGGGGTACCTGGATCTGCACATGAAAAACATGCGCAGAAAGGGCATGAGTACACCACAGCGGTACTCAGTAAGTGCCAAGCCTAACCTCGGTCGGTTAGTGACGAGGAATGTCAGGGCCCTAATGAGAAATAAATAATCAATGACAGGATAAATGAGCAGTATAAATGAAAATCTACAGTAAGAATCTACACAGGATAATAAGGATACAGTAATGGAAAATAGAAATAAGGGAAACACAAGGAAGTACAGCTCGCAACAAAGATGATAACCGGGGATCTCTTGGTATCCCGAGGATCTCTTGGTATCCTCAGT